AGAGGATTTGATGCTTTGGCACACTGCAGCACATGGCTAAGCCTGTCACTAAGCGCCCCTGACTGAGGAATTGTATTACTGGGGGTCTCCTCTGTAACGTCACAATCTTTTTCACCAACTCAAGCTGATACAGCTGGTTTGCTGAAACAGTTTTTTCCTACATGGACTGGCAGAGAGAAAGAAGTTTYGACAAATGGGTTACGTTCTGTAACATGAAAATGACTCACCACAGTTTATCTCTACTCTTCCAACATATTTTTTGTGCCAAATATTGCCTAATATTGAGTCTCGTGTTAAGTTTTTATAATGTACTGTATATCCTCATGTTCTATAGAATTAAAACTGACTTAAATGGTTAGGTAAGATGGCAACATGAGAATCAGGTTGAGTCATATAAAGATGTCATGGGTGGATTCCCTTACAGCAGGGGYATCAAACTCACTGAGGGCCACATGAGMATTAGGGTGGACCTCAAAGGGTCAGTTGAAATTAAGCTTTGACACTAACACTAACTGAGCTCCACCTTGCATTTCCTGCATAGAAACAGTGTTTTAACACGTCATCTTAAAAACACAGAAAAGTACTATGTGAATGACTGACTAAATTTGAAATTAATAATAAAGAAAAACTATTAAAAGTAGAAGTAAGAGTTTTAATCACTGATGAGTTGTTGTGAGTAGCTGCAGTCTGGAGTTTTGAAATTTCCCACTTTCCGACAGGAAATTCCTACAGGAGGGGCGTTCCACTCAAAACTTATGATTTGTTAGTGGGAATTYCCCATTTCCCAGTACAATGCAGCAAAAGTAGCATTCATATGCAACAAAATGGAATCTTTTCACATTGAATTTTGCCAGGTAAAGGTAATAAATGTGTAAATGTCACTGCTCTGTGTACTGTAGTTGACAAAGTACACAACTAATGTTAAATGGGTCTTTATTTTTATCATCAAACACATAATTAACAAAAATGKTCCATTTTAAGAGCTGCTACAACTCATTGATTAGTATTTCTTTTTGTTTTGATCAATTTATTTTTGTTATTAACCTCAGCAGTCATATTTTTAAAGCAACTGGTTCTCTCATGGGTAGACTATGCTGGCCATCAAGAAGATTTATTCCCCAACAGATGTGAAGATGTAGGAAGCCGACAAATAAGAGAAAAGTCGTTCACCCAGATGGAGTGGTGGAAATGAAAGTGGATGTGTTGAAAAGTGACGGCTTGTAATGATCAGAATATCAGATCAAAGAAATGACAGAGCTGGCAGAAAGGGGAGACGCTTGGTTCCGTGTCAGCAGGGTGTGGCGTCCCCCTTGGGGCTAGATACAAGCAGAGATTCAGTGTGGGACAGAGTTTTACGTGGCCCCTGAGATCTGGCAGATTGGTACTCAGTCAAGCTGATTCCACACTGATTCAACTAAAAAATGAGTGGGAGAGCTGGTTGGCCAAATAAGGACATTCTGTGTGTGAACAAATATCTTGTTGAAACATTCAACAATTCAGAATTCTGCAAAAAAAAAACCTGTAATTGACCTATTTGGTACTGTCATTTTGCAATATTTCGACAATGATGTACAAGTTCAGTAAATTTAAAGCAATTTAGAGTTTAAAAGAATTTGTGTAAATTGCTCAATTTGCTCAACCAGTTGACATACAGTAACTTGGTTGAGTTCGGTCAGCAAGGTGTTAAATTTTAAAGTAAAGAAGTATCAACAGAAAACAAAAAGCTACAATTAAAAAATACTTTGTAAAATTACTGATCCTGAAAACACAACTTAAATACTGTAATGAAGCAAATGTACTTTACTATACACCTCTGATACACATAAATGGGGCCTTGCCCAGTCTCTTAAAGGGGCAATATTATGTGTTTCTCAGGCTTTACGTTCTATACCATAATAAAGTATCCATGTCGCCTTTAGTTGTTATTAAAATGCTGTTTTTAATGTTAAAAATAAAAAAATAAACTCTTCTCATCATTTCCGTTTCCAAACACCTTGAAATTGGCCTCTGTCTCTTTAAGAATCTCCTTCCACTTCCGTCCCGCCCATTTCAACACATGGGAGGAGGGAGGTGCGCTCGTGCGCTGTGATATGGACGCTCAGTGTAGTTTATTTGGCATCTGAAAATACATTTCCTCTATTCTGGCCCTTGCCTTCCTAAGCAGCTCCACTCAATTCTAGTTTCCCTTCACTGCTCCGTCTGGGACTTCTCCCATTGAGATGGATTTCGCTGGCAGATTTTTAGCCGGGCCAATCAGAGAGCAGAACGTCAATTTTCTACGCAGTGTCTGCTTGTAGTTTATTGTACCTGGGCCAATCAGAGAACAGAAGGAGGAGTTTTGAATGACGTCGATGTTCTGCGCAGTGTCTGCTAGTTAGTTTAGCATACGGCAGCGGAGGAAGTGAATGAAGCCAGTCTGTGTTGATAAGGCTTCCAAATTAAATTTAATTTGTCTGACAAAGCAGCAGCTCTCATTTACAATTGTCTTGTTTGGCTCGGTATAATTCTCCTCTCAGTAGAGTTTTTTACAGCACACGTGATTTCCGGTTAGCTTCTTAGCTTAGTCTCCTTCACATGACAACACACACATGCTTCAGCAGAGGCCACACCTCCTGCAAGAAGCGCTTCTCTATGCAGCAAGTCCAGACCCTTGTACGAAGCAAAGTGAAGTACAGGGTCTGGTTTTAACCAGGCTACATTYCCTCAAAGGTATTTTGAATTTGGAAAGGGCTGCGCTCAGACATAGTATTGAGAGCTCAGCAGACTTTCACTTTCAGTTTCACCAGTTGTTTGCTTTGTTGCTGCCAAGAGCCTGCAGGAGTCACAGGTGGGGTGGGGAGGTGTGCTCTGTGATGAGGAAGCTCAGCTTGGAGACACAGCCCAGAGGAAGAGCTGGTCCCAAAAGGTGGTTCTAGTCCCAACCAGTTGTTTTTGCTCTCCTGCCTGGCTGCCTCAGGACAGCACAGGATTTCTCGAACAAACATGAAAGAGTCAATGCAAGGCATGTTTTTGATGAAAGGATAAAATTATAACATGATATAAAACTCAAAAAAGTTGATTTTACATGATATAGCCCCTTTAATTAGTTTGGGGGTCCCAGAATGAAAAAATGTTGAAGACCCTTGGTCACCACTACAGTGCGACAGGGCCTTAAGAGAAAAAAGCCCCTGTCAGTTAAYGTTCTGTTTTAGGTACAGCTCAGCGGGATCCTGAATTCACTTTGTTTTGTTTTCATGTACTGAAATGCAACTTWAAACATGTTTGCTCAAACTAACATTTAGAAGGTATGTTACACATAAATACATGGTCTACTGTTCTGTGTTTATTATGACTCAGCTGACAGTTTTTGGAGGGATGAATGGACGTAAAGTGATTGGTTAAGGCTTGTCTTGCCCTGTTGTTGATCTTAATACRGTGACTCATCAATATGTGGAATGGTGATCCAAACAAAACTCAAAGTTTATTACTTGTTTTAGTCTCCTGAGATGACATATAATGTGAATTTATGTTGTTTAAATAAACTGAACTCMTCTTAGAGGGATATGTGACATTTAAAGAATGTTTTACAAAGATCAAATATGACCTAAAACCTGAGGGGCAAATGAAAATGAAACCCCTACACAACCACCAGAAGTAACTSATGATACAGAAGTGATGGCAAAAAAGGTGAAAAACAGTGGAAATGAAAATAAAAAAATACAACATGCATATTTTCCTTTCTGCTTGTAGTATTTAGCAACAGCTGGTATTTAACATGAATCAACAGAGTGGATTTTGAGGCTGGCAGCTTTCTGTTCAGAGGTCACACAGTGATTATTGCTCTCTGTCAGTTTCATCCTAACATGTTAAAATCCTTTAATCCTCTTCCACACTTCCTTCCGGAGCAGTTAAAATCATTTGTTGAGGTCGTTACATTGAGGCTTCAAGTCAATTATCCTTTTATCTTGATCTAAAAARGCTTCTAATTGCAAAAATAAGTTAATTGATTCATGTGTAAACACAGGCATC